TTTTTTTTTGCTTTTTTTTTTTTTTTTTTTTTTGCTTTTAAAAAAAATTGCCTCCTTTTGCAAAACGTGTGTCCAGGTCTTGTTATTGCTCCCAGCTGCCCGATGGAGGACGGCACTGTTTGCAGCCCCTCGGGAACTTCCAACTGCAATGACCACAGAGTCAATTTGTGTAGGTTTGATGGGACAAAGATGAGTGTTGGCCATCCCTTCTTTCTGTTGTTCATCCATTGGGCTTTGTCTGATACCAAACCTCCGGGGCAGTGCTGCAATGTGCTGGTTGCCCCAGCTGTGCTATTCTCTGCCCTCCTTCCTCCTTGCAGGAGGTTGCACTGCTCAGCTGTGAGACCGGAGGCAGTTGGGTGCAAGAGATGCCAAAGGGTGGCAAATGTCACCTTCCATATTGCTGGGGAGATCGTGGTCGTGTCACAGCTCTCCTCACGTAAAGGGGTAAATATTTAATGCTGTTAAGTAGATCGGAGCGATGCAGATTCCTGGTTGGGTTCTCAATGGGCACAAGGCAGTGAAATTAGAGTAAATGGGTGTTTGGCTCACAGGTTGTAAATAGACATTTTTTGAGTAGTAGCTCTGTTGTTTTTGGTTTTGTTTTTTTGTTGGCTCTTTTTAGGTAAATGTGAGCTTTTTGTTTGTTTGGTTGGTTTTTTCCCTAAGTAAAATCTCTCCTTTGACACTTCTTTTTGGGGACAAATGTATTCAATTCAGTTGTTTCTTATCCTGCTCCATCAGTGCTGTGTGATGAGGTGATTTGCCATAGGGATCTGCGGGCTGCACGGGGCTCTGAGCTCCTTCACACAATGCACCGAGCCCTGTGTTGTGTATAGAACTGCATCTGTAGCTTCACATGAGGTGTATGGGAGAGGGACAGGCACTGATTGTAATGAGAGAGAAGTGAAAATCATAAGGTAACTTTTTTTTGGGGGGGGGGAGTTGTTGGGGTTTTTTTTGGTTTTTTTTTGGAAAAAAAAATAGAAAATATTTCCTTTTAAATATTAAATCAGTCGAAACGTGGAAACGAAAACTTTCTTTGTGATTTAAAAGAAGAAGAAACGAATGATTTCCTGCCGGGAGAGTAAAAATGCGGATGGGGAGCCCTCAGCCAACCTCTGCATGGCCATTCCGAGGGCACTGCCTCCCCCCTGCACTGTGCACAGCCCCATGCATGGGGATGGAGGTGACCAATGGCTCCAAGCTGATGTATTTTTTTTTTAACCCTGGGTGTTGGAAATGTCTCTGGGATAACATGCAGGGTGAATGCATTGAGATGTGTGTGACGCCGCTCTCAACTTCCTGCATGACCTCGGACAAATCACTTAATCCCCATTAGGTGATGGCGATGGTAATCCTTCCCTTCCCTTCTCCTGGCCTTCAACTCGTGCAAAACACAACAGCTCACCAGTGGTAAATGAGGCACTGCGTTCTGCTCCCACCACAGGGGGCATCGGTTATAGCAATGTTACAAAAAGCTCCCGTTTGCAGCTCATTAGTGCTATGAAAGCCTCACCTTATCTCGTAGATAGGAGCTCAGGAGTGAGCGTTCTGATTGCCCTCATAACCCCATCCTATACACTTAAACAGGCAGCCCTATGCTAACCCTGTAGCTGAGCTCTAAGCACTGTTGGGTTCAGGGTCAGCTGACAGCACACTTCAACTCTTGGTAAAAGGGTCTTGGAGGTTTTCAAGCCAACAAGCGAATGTGTTACCATACCTGGCAGGAAATGACTGCTTTTCAAGCCTCCCACAGCCATAAAACAGCAGTGCAGGGAACAACTGCTCGTGGTGGCAATGAAAACTGCCATAATCTACAGGACAACCCAACCTGTTGCCCATGCAGACATCATCTGTTGGTGCATTCCTGTCTGAAACACCTCTGGGTCCCATCCTATTGCTGCTGAGCATCAGGGATGCGACCCCGTTCACCTCCCTCCTGCAGAATGGCCATTCACAAGCTTGCTGGAGAAACGAGCTGATCCCAGGTAGCCCCACAGTCAGGCTGAGGACACGGCATTGCTCTGGGAGCTGAGCTTTGCTCTCCTCAAGCCAGAACTCAGCCGGCATCCTCAGAATGGGGAGGGAGCTCATCCAGGTGCTCAGATGCACACAGCAGGTGTTACAGCATCGCAGGTGACGTTCCCACATGACCACTGCAGCAATCAGGGCTGAGCAATGTGAACACAGAGACAGCAGGCTGTGACCTGATCCACCCATGGGATTGAGCTCTGCCTGGTCGGGGCAGGGCCAGGAATTGGGGGGGGTTTTGCTATTGATTTCTTTGAACAGGGTGAACTCAGTCTGGGGCAGCAGAGCTCTGCTCCTCGCCCTCCCCAGCGCTCTCTGTGACCTGAGGGCAATCCTGGAGCATCCTGAAGTGTCTCAATGTGCCCTCCAGGTCCATCCCCGATGCTCACAGCCCTGGGGCTCACCTTCCTGGTGGTGGTAATGAAGCACCCAGCACTCCTGCACCTGCAGGCCGAAATTCAGGCTCAAGTTATGGATTGTTGTTTCTGGGGAGCAGGATCTGGAGCCTGAGCTGCAATGGGACTCCTTCCAAAATCACCCTGAGATGAGGACACTCATAAGATTTGAGTGCTTGCTGCCACCACCTGCATGGAGTCCTGTGGGTGTAGGAAGGGTTTGGGGCTGTTGGGGATGTGGGGCACCCTTCAGACAGATTGAATGAAACCAGAACCAACACGGCGCTGACTCCGAGGGTTTGGGAGCAGCGTGGCCCTTCCTGGTTACTCACCTCTGTTCTGGTTCACTCTTCCTGTTCGGCGTGTTCCTGACACCTCCAGCTCATCCATCCCCGCTCCCCAGCCCCTATTTTCATCCCTTTCTCCCATCGGAACAACAGCTCCACAACAGCGTGCGAAACCAGACAGAGAACTCCGGAACGCTCCGAAAAAAAAAAAAAAAAGAAAAAAAAAAAAAGCGTGTTTTCCGTCCCTATGGGGTGAGCGGAGGGCAGGAGATGGGCGGGCAGAGGGAGGAGGATAGGATAAAAGCAGCCGGAGCGATCCGCACCGCCTCTCCGGGCTGAGCCGCTCCCGCAGAGCCGCGAGGGAGGAACGGCAGCTCCGGGTGAGCGGTGGCGGTGAGGGGGGGGGGGGCGGTCTGTCAAGTCCCGGATACCACCTCCATCCCTGGGATATTTTAGGGCCGGATGGGGCGGGAGTGCGGTGATCGGCTTCGTTGCCACGCGGTTTAGGGCGGAGGAAGAAGGAAGGGCGTACGGGGAAGCGGTGCTGAGAGGAACCGGTTGCGTTCGGTGCTCGTGGGGAGGGTGCGAAGCGCGTTTGGGAGCTTTCGTGGACGCGGGTTAGGTGAGTATCCCCCCCCGCGCTCATAGCTCCCTTTCTCTCTGTTCAACAGGATGCTCCCCATCGTCCTCGAGGTGCTCGGCAGCCTCCTGGCCTGGCTGTGCCTCTATGCTGCTTTCTGCCTCTGGAACAGGCATCGTTCCCCCGAGTGGAGCTGCCGCCTGGTCACCCTGCTGCACGGGGCCATCGCCACCTGCCTGTCCGGGTACATCGCCCTCTGGGACGGCCCCTGGCCTCTGAGCCATGCAGGTGTGTGGGGGGCCTCACCCTGACACGTCCTCACATCATCCTATGGGTGGAGATCCAACTGCTTTTGCTGTCTGTCCCCTCACGTGTGTGTTTTGGGAGCATGGCAAGGCTCCGTCCAGCTCCTTGCTTCTTCCTCAGCATCTCCTACCTCTTGTTGTTGTCCTACCCAGGCACTTGCTGAGGGTTCTCAGGTTGAATTTCATTGCTCTGCTGCTGTCAGGTGTGGCAGTGTGGAAAACAGGCTCAATGCTGTTTGCATCTGGAAGGGCATAATAACTGCTGGCACCAGAGCGTGGGCTTCTGTTTGTGCTTTTCTATCGTTAAATCTCAAATAGTTCTGCTGGTGGGGTCAGGCACTCCCACCCTCCTTTCTAAAAGGGCGGAGAGGAAAGGAGAAATGTAGTGTGGGCTGTGGGAGAGCTGTGCATCCTGGTACCCAGAGGTCCCATAGGATAAGCTTGGAAAGCAAAGAGCAAAGCTCCAACCTGTATCTAGCTCAGTGTTCTAGAAGAATATCTTGAGTGAGGCCCTACGTTAATGCATCCTTTTTCCTTTCAGGCTCACCAAACACCACTCTCCAGGTCCACGTGCTTTCCCTGACGCTGGGTTATTTCATCTTCGACCTGCTCTGGTGCTTCTATTTCCAGACAGAGGGAGACCTGATGCTGCTCCATCACACGCTGAGCATCTGCGGCATGGTGCTGGTGCTGGGCTTGGGCAAATCTGCCACTGAGGTCAATGCAGTGGTGTTTGTCAGTGAGATCACCAACCCGCTGCTGCAGACCCGCTGGTTCCTGAGGGAGATGGGCCTCTACCACTCCTTCCTGGGGGAGGTGGTGGATTTCTTCTTCGTGCTCCTCTTCCTGGTGCTGCGCATTGGCGGAGGAGCTCTGATCATGTATGCCATGGTGACAGCCCCGGATCCCAACTGGATCCTCAAAGGGGGAGGCCTGGCCATGTACATCGTGTCCTTGGGGTTCATGGTTGAGATCTGCCGCTTCGTTAGGAGGAAGATGTTGAAAAAGTACCATTCCTGGACGCGCCTGAGGAGTGTGGATGCACCTGTGAAAACAAATGGGCACTTGGCAGCTCACTGACAGTGACCGTGGATGGGACCCTGGCTGCTGGAGCCTGTAACTGTGACAAGAGCTCCTAAAAGTGGTGTGGAAATGACATCCTGGCACTGGCAGCTCTCTACAAGCCCTGGGGGAGATGGATGGTCACTCAATGCGTGGGAAAGCTGACCAAATAGGGATTTCAATGGGAACGCAAGGAACATGCTGTGTCTGCTGGGCTGCTTCCTCTTCCAGCCCGTAATGCACAGCCTGCAGTGGGGCTGTGCCAGACACATCCACAGTGCACAGACTGACTTATCTATGATTGTGTTGGAGGCAGTGTTATCTCGCAGTGCAGTTGGAGTACCTGATCTGGAACATCTCACCCTCTCCCCAGTGGAGCCAGGTACGGGTGTGACCCAGCCAGGATGTACTCAGTGTTGTTCTCTCTTCAAATGGGACAAAACATTGGACCACGTGCTCGAATGAGAGCTTGTGAACAAGGCTGAAGTGCCCATAAGGGGACGGTGGGGTTGTCCTTGGTGTGAAGTAATGGTGCTGTGGTTCGTGAGGGTGAGGCAATGTTCTACCTCATTGTTTTTAGCAATACATTTCCTTCTTTTTAATACTTGCATTCAAGGAGATAGTGATCTCAGAGCAGTGTGACTCCACTGGTTGGACAGTGTACACCTCTGTTCCTTGCAAACAGGAGTCTGGAACCAGACTTGTGCCAAACGCCTCCTCATGAAGCGCATCACCTCGCCTTGCACTGATTTCAGAAACTCAGGTGCTGTGTGTGTGAGGGCTGACAGAGCAGAACCTTCTCTGGATGCTTTGTCTGTCTTGCTGCAGGCCAGGAATGCTGAATGCAAGGCTGACAGGAGTCTGGTGCTTATTTCCAGGGGTGACAGTGATGTTGAGGTGGATCTCAGTGTGACATCACTCCATGCAGTTCTCAGCACATGGATCAGTTCTCTTCTTTACCTCTCAGAATCGCATTCTGACTTTCCCCTGGGGTTGTAATGTGAATTTCCCTCGACTTGTGTAGCAGCATCCTGCTGGAGCTCGAGAGCCCCTGCAGCTCCTGGTGGCCTTTGTCACACGTGTCACTGCTGTGGAGTGCAGGAGGGGAGCAGCTCTCTGCCCTTATCTTGCTAGCTGGGCTCTGCTCAGCGCTGATAGCTGGGCTGCAAGGTGTCTGGAGAGATAAAAGCTAATAGCATGAATGAACTGAATGTTAGGTGTGACCTTTGGGTGCCACGCAGACCCCAGGCACGCAGCAGGTCCATGGGGTTGGGCGGATGGAGCCTGGGAGGAGGGCACTTTGGGGTCATGGGCTGCTGTGAGAGCTCCCCAGAGTGATCAGACTTCCAATAAAGTTGCATTCTCATTTTAAAAGGGAACAGTTGCTGTAACATTCTTTTGTTCTGGGACTGAAGGAGGCAGCTGGAGCTAATGAGGCTGGGCTGGATGGGGCAGCCTGGTCTGATGGTTGGAACCCTGCTGTACCCCAGTTCTTCCAGGCAGAATAGCTGGCTGCAGTGGCTCTGTGAGGTGGGAAGCAATGTGCCCTCAGGTGGTCATGGCTGTTGTCTCAGCTCAGGCATGGTTTTAGTGTTAAACCTCTGCTGTGATGCTGGAAGAGCATCTGGCTCCACCCCCACCATCCCATTGCATTTCTTACTTGCTGACCTTGGAATGGATGTGATTTTCTTAATGCTGGCCCCTGCTTTTTCTGTTAAACACCTGTGGGGGAATTTATCATCACAGAAAGTGACCGCTGCTGTGCAAATGACCGTCAGCAGAGGTTTCTGTCCCAGGTTGTTTTGCTGAGTGCTTTTTGTGCGCAGGCAAAGCGAGCCCATTGGGATGGCTGACTGTGCACAAAGAAGGAAATGAGAGCATGAGCTGCACCTCACTGCTGCTGCCATCCATTGGGTGAGATCTAACGTGCCACCTCACAGCTCACTGCCTACCATTTGTTTGTGTCATATGAGCCAGAGGAAAAAAAAAACCACCCATCCAGCTCCTCTGGAAGTGACTTCTAGCAATAAATGATCCTCTGAAGGCTTTGAGTTTAGAGTCTCAGGGCTTCTTAGTGCTATAACCATCATTGCTGTTACCACCTCTGCAAACAGGTTGCTCTTTACCCCGAGCTAGCACAGCTCCATCCCATTTATTATTTATACCCCCTGCATGTGGCGGGGGGGTGGAGATTCGTGATCCTTGAGGTCCCTTCCAACCCTGGCCATTCTGTGATTATTGAAGCTGCTGCAGCCGGCCCAGCAAAGGCGGAGGAAAAATGCGATCCGTCAGAGCGACGGGCGCGCAGGTCACGTCACAAGGATGCCGGCCCTCCATCCGCCGGTGGGGTCAGAGGTCCCCGTCCCCCCCCCGCAGCGACTGCCGTCTCTCCTCCCAGCCGCCAGGTGCCCCCCGCCCGCCGCTGCCGTTTCCTCTTCCCGACGGCCCCATTGCGGCGGCGGGGCTCGGAGCGGTGAGTCCGGCAGCTCCGGGGCTGCAGGTGGGTGCGGGGCTCCGGGAAGGGCTCGGTCCGGTTGCTCGGTCTGCATCTGTGCATCTGTGCGTTGGGTTCCTCCGGGTATCGAGACGCGTTTAATGGCTCTAGAGTCTGCTTTTTTTCCTTTCCTTCCTTCCTCCCCCCCGCGGCGCTGCTGATAGCATCAACCCTCTTTTTAAAGCAATAGTGAGGATGATAACAGTAATGGCATTGCTGCGCTTTTTAAAGGATGTCGACCTTTACGGAGGTGTAATTCACAGATGCAATACGTACCGTGTATCCTAAGGGCAAACATTTAGTTTTGGGGCGTGATTGGAAGAAGCCCCCACCTTTTGGGTGTATGGAGATGTGTACAGGTTGCTTCTCTCCTTCTCTCCTCCTCTCCTGGTGCTCCGCTCCCTTCCATCGCTCAGGATTCCTCCTGCCTCACCCATCCTGAACCGGGTGCCTCGAGCTCTGCTGCTGTCACTGGTCGGAGCGGTTCGTCGTGTCCGTGTTTCATCTCCCCGTGCTCCCATTATAACATAATGGCTTTGTTTATCCCGCCCAAGCCGTGCTGGTGATGCTTAAAACAGGCCAGGACGGCTGTGAGTCAGCCCCGACCCCGCACCACGTGCTGTCCTCCCGGTGTTCCCCACCACAAACCGGACCGGTGGCACTCGGTGACACAGCTGTGACACGGCTGGAAAAGGTGCCGTGACTCAGCTCCTTCTGAGCGCTCAGCCATAACGATGCATCCCTCAGATTGCAGGTGTGTGGGCATCGCTGCTAATCCTTTGGCATCTCACAGGTTTGAAGGTCTTGGTGCCACCCACAGGTGGGAGAGCTCACTCCTCTTTTCACCACTCCTGTGCATCCCTGCGGAGTGGGCAGTGGGGTGGGGAGACTGGTTAGCGTTGGGCCTAGCAGGGGACCATGTGGTGTGGGGTTTTCTTGGATTTTGTTTCAGGAGAGGAGGAACCCAGGTAGCAAACAGCACGACTGAGTGTGTCTGGTGGGGCAACACAGGCAGGTTGAAGAGCAGGCTAAGTGAGAAGGGAAGGGGCAGGAGTAGCATGGATCTACACGTGGAGCTCCTCTGCCTGTCCCTCACGCAGTGGGATGAGCATCAGCTTATCCCAGCAGGTCCAGCATTGTGGGGTTGTGCTGACATGATCAAATTTTAGAGCTCCTGATGCCTCTTGTCCTTCCATCCCTGTGGCAGGATGCTGCTCGCCCTGCCCCTGCGGGCAGCCTGCAGCCTGCTGGCCTGGCTTTCCCTCTACACGTGGTTCTGCCATCGCTACAAGCACCGGAGCTATGAGTGGAGCTGCAGGCTGGTCACGCTGACCCACGGCATCCTCGCTACGTGTCTCTCTGCTTACATAGGCTTCATCGATGGCCCCTGGCCTCTGAGTCACCCGGGTGAGTGGCAAGAGTTGTGCTGAGTCCCCCCCAGGTGGGTGATGGCATGCGGTGGGATTTTCCTGTCACCCCGGTGTGGATGCTGGGATACAGCGTGGATGCATTTGAAAAACGTTTGCGAGGATATCTGATGATGTTTATTACTGAAAGTGCTAGGGAAATGGGGAGAGTGGTGCTGTGTTTTGCTGCTTTCGTGCCCTCCCCAGCTGCAGAGTGCAAGGTCGCACTGGGTGGCCATTACACGCGTGCAGCTGTCACTGACAACTGCAGGATTGTGGCAGAGCTGTGACCAGCCGTGCCGAGGGCGAATCCCCCTCCTGCTGCAGGTCCCACCTCTCATCACCTCTGTGCCCTGACGCTCTGCCCGATGTCTTTGTTGCAGGATCCCCAAACACAACCCTGCAGGTCCACGGGTTGTGCCTGAGCCTGGGTTACTTCCTCTTCGACCTCTGTTGGTGTGTGTACTTCCAGACGGAGGGTGCCCTGATGCTGGCCCATCACCTGGTGAGCATTGTGGGCATCGCCGCATCGCTGGCGCTCGGTGAGTCGGCCGCCGAGGTCAACGCCGTCATCTTTGGCAGCGAGATCACCAACCCACTGCTGCAAGCTCGCTGGTTCCTCAAGGAGATGGGCTGCTACCACAGCCTCACGGGGGACGTGGTGGACTTCTTCTTCGTGGTGCTGTTCACTGGGGTGCGGATCGGGGTGGGGGCCTGGCTGATGTACTGCGAGCTGACCTCACCGAAGCCCCGCTGGTACATCAAGCTGGGGGGTGTCGTCATGTACGCCGTCTCCTGGGTCTTCATGGTCAGCATCTGCCGCTTCGCCCGGAGGAAGAGCATGAAGAAATACCACGCGTGGAGAAGCCAGAGGGGCAAGGAGCTGAGCTTGAGAACGAACGGACATCTGAAAAGCCACTGATGCTGAGTAAGGACTTCCTCAAGCTCACAGGCTGGCAAGGAGGGGATCGTGCCTGAGATGCCGCTGTCGGGAGAGGAGCCAGCACACGTTAGCAGTTCTGGAGCCAAACTTATTCCTGGCATAACTCCACTGAAATCCATGGAGCTATGCCATGGGTTCATGGGATCCGCAGCGCTTGGCCTGGCAGAGGCTGGCTCAGCGTGTACGTAAGCACACCCTAAATTACACGAGTGAAAGAAGGGCTACTTTTACCTCCTAAACACAACTGGTCCAGCAGTGCAGGTGTACATAGCAGTGCTAGCAGCTTCCTCCTTCGGTGCTAGTGTGATCTCAGAAGAGATGGGAAAACAGCACTAGATATTGGTGTTCTGTGTTCTGTACAGTCTAGGCAGCTAGATGACTCTTTGTCCTGCTAGGAAGAAGCATGTTGGAGTGTTTTGTGGGAGCTGGGATTCCTGGCTCATCTTCCAGCCTGTTGGGTGACCTTGGGCAAGTCCCTGAACTTCCTAACCCAGTGCCTCATTTCCCCATCTGAACGGGGGGTGATGGAGCTGGTCCATCTGTTATGCACTTTCAGACCTTTACTCGAGAGGTGCTATGGAAACACAAAATGATGGTTGTCTCCACTTTGTTCATTATCCCCGTGTTTCCTTTGGGAGAAGTGATGGTGGTGGTTGAGCTACCCTTTCTAATTCTGTTCTGTAACTTATTTGCTAACACATGGATAACTGATTTTCCAGTAGAATCAGCAGCTCTGCTCAGCGTGAGCGCCTTGCAGGACTCGGTGCTCTGAACCCAAAAGTTGCCACCCCTGATGTGAAGCACTCTGGGGACTTTTTCCACTCCTCTTCACCCCGACTGTTAAAGCTCCAGCCATGCTTTCCAAATCCTGCCTTTAGCCCTCTGGGTGAGCAGTGTTCTCTATAGGAGGAACCCCATCAGGACTTGCAGTAAGTGGTTTTTGGGTGGACCCCTGACGTGGGCACTGCTGTGTCTGCAGAATGGCAGCTCCTCTTTGCTGTGCTATTGGTGGTTCCAGATTCAGGTCAGTGCATCTGAACCCAGAGTCTGGCATTTAAAGATTGTGGAGGAGTGTAGGTGCTGGGAAGATGACTGGAAAATGCAGCTCACTTAGAATGAGCATTGATGTTTTTCCCCAGGACAGTAGCTATCAGTTTTGACAAGAGTATTTCCTGGGATATGTGATTAGAGAGTGTCCAGAATACATCTCCAAAACATGCTGGTTAGGGTGTGATGTTACAAAGCAAGGCTTGTTGTCTGCCTTCTGGGCTCCAGCATGGAATCCCAGATCCGAGGAAGGAGTACAAAGCTGTGGAGCACACAGTGGGATCTGTCCTCAGGCCCATCTGCAAAGGGAGCTGCAGAACTAGCGTGAAATAATAACTTGTGTTTGAATTACTGTGTAATAGCAACTAATGTTCCACCAGTGAATGGTGTAGATGCTTTGTATGATGTTTTATAAAATAAAGATTATTTAATTACTGCTTGATGTCTTTGGGTGCAGCCCTTCTGCCGTGCTGCATGGGTTGGTGTTGCCAGGGGAAATCGTGTTTGATGTCAGAAGGTGAAGGTCTGTTTGGTGTAACAGACGGGAAATAACACCATTCTTCATCTCAGTAACAAATCCCTTTTCCAATTGGAGGACATCGATTCAAGCAGCAGCAAGAAGACTCCATGGCAGCACTCACAGCAGCTTTGCCCTTATGGGTGCTGCTGCTTTAATTATGCTGATGTGGAAAGAAAGCTTAGTGCTATAAAAACACTCGCTGTGGCTTGGCTTATCCAGGTTTAGGCACTGTAATACGCTGTCACAGTGGAAGCCATGGTAGATTAGCCTATCTGTGCCTCAACAAAGTCAGCAAAGTATTGCATGTGTCCCAGTGACTTAAAGCAGAGAGTGGCCCTGTATGCAGTTCCAGTGGACTGGATGCAAAATAAGCTGCTTGTCTATAGGAAGCAAACCATGTGCCTGTGTTAAGGCATGGATGCTGAAAGGCTCCCACACAGCAATGTGGAATCTGACAGAATAACAAAAGGCAGAAGACTTCGTGGATTCAGTTTTTATGCTGGGGATCAGTAAAGCTCAGCTACACGACCTGCAGCTCTGAGTCAGGGCACGCTGGTTCGCAAAGCTGTCTGTCCTTCATTGAGCTCTGCAGGGTGAGTTGTTTGTCCCCAAGTTGCTCTCATGGTTTGATTATTCCCATCTGAAACGCGTGCGAAGTCGTCCTGAGGTTAGAACGATGCCACTAGCTGCTCTTGGTGCCCCAAACGTGAAGCTATCAGGGCTCTATCAGCCTCCTGTCTGCGCTCGTGCCGAGCCCATAGAGGTGCTCACGGAGCTCCGGTGGGAGCACGGAGCGGCCCTACAAGGTTCCCCCAGCAGGTGGCATCAGGGCCCCGGCTGAGCCCGGAGCCGGGCAGGGACACAGAGCCCGCACAGCGCTGCTGGCAACTCCTCCCAGTCCCATTTGAGGGACCCCAAGGATTTGTCCTTTTCTTCCCATCCTTTAAGGCAGGTTAAGAATTGGTAGTTGATAGGACTCGGCATTTCTCGCACCAACAGCCCTCCTGAGCTGAGCTGTTCTGCTCTGGGCTCTAAGGGACAGCTGGTCAGAGCGCTGGGGTACAGCCCATGGCTTTGCTGGGTATCCAGGTTCAGATGGCAGCACCAGCTCTAACTGTGGGCTCAGGGAGGGCTTTGCAGCCACCAACCAAAATCCATTCTAATTGCTACCGCACAGCATAATTGCTTATTGATTTTTTTTTTTTTTCTCATTGTAAAACTGCCCAGGCAGCAAAATGTCATAGACATCTGTGTTAACACAAGCACACAGTCAGCTCCCAACAAAGCACAAAACCACAGCACAGTGCTTGCAGAAAGGAAAAAGCAATTACGGTATCAGAGTCTACTTTGGAATTGTTTCATTGTTGCATTAAACACGGAAATCCAGCCCATAATGAGCAGGAGTTTATCTGGACGAGGTGATGGGAGGGCTTTACACCTCTTGGCATGGCTGTGGTTTTATGCAGTGCTTCTTCTATACGACACGGAATGGATCCTTTGGCCGATGTTCATCAGCATCACCCTGCTGACTTTTATGTCCGTTTGCTGCTGCTGAGCTTGTTCCCATCACCCTTTTTAGGATATCCTCCAATTAACTGTTATCGTCACTGCTTTGCCACGCACGATAAAATAGACTTAAAGCAATAAAGAAGCGCTGAGGTCTGATTGCCAATGCCTGCAGCGAGGAGGGTCTGTATGCCCTGTCCGGATGCTCTGCGGGATAAAGGCACGGAGGGATTTACTGCATTGAAGGGAGCTGCCGTGGCTACGGAACCGCAGCACTGCTGGACGCATGTCGGCACTCCTCTCTTTCTCCTCTTTCTTCCCCAAAAGGAAGCTAGGAAAGGAAGCGCAGATGCTCTGCGTGTCTCCATCGAGTGCCATTTAGAAAATGATTTCATCCCACGCTTCCCTTCTTTGCTCCGAACTTCTCCAAAACAACAAACCCATCAAAGGGCTCTCCGCCTTCCGGACTGCTCGCTTCTCTCCGAGGAGGAAAAGGAGCCGGTCCGAGCATCCCGGCATCCTCAGCACCCCGAAGCGGAACTTCACCCCGGAGCGCACGGTGGAAGCACGGCGTACAGCCCGGCCCGACGGCTTCGTCTGGATAGCAACCGAGCCGTCCGCTTCCAAACCCTCAGCGCTTCGCGTGAGCGGAGACATCGCTCCGTCTGCGCCGAGGGATCTCTTTGCGCAGGAGCAGGCGGAGGGATACAGCGGATATCGCCGCTCGGGGGGGAGGAGTCGGCGTCGCGGTTCGGCCCCGCTCGGCGCAGCTCCGTCGGGACGCGCCGCTCCCAGCCGGAACAGGAGGGGCGCGGCTCGCTCTCCGTCTCGCAGGAGCGGCAGGACTTTGCCCGCAGCGCGCAGGCCGAAAGGAGAACGGAGCCATCCCGTCCGGGGACGTCGGAGCTCGGCGCCCCGCCGCGGCACGGGCCGGGCATGGCCCCGAGGGCCTAAAGGCGGCGGCGGGCAGCGGCCCAAACCCCCCCGCCCTGTCCGCCCCGCTCGGGCCGCCGGCGGGCGGGGGGTCGGGGCGGGCGGCGGCGGGCGATGGGCGGCGGGAGCTGAGCTGAGCCGAGCGGCCTGCAGGGCGCAGCGCACCGGGCTGCTCCTCGCGGGGGGCATCGCGGGGAGCGGCTCTTGGCTTTTTTGCTGAAGTTTTTGTTTTTTTCCTCCGCTTACTTCCGCGGGTTGGATTCTGAGTGCGCGAAGAGTTTGGGATTCTTTTACTTTTTTTCTTTTTTCTTTTTTCCTTTTTTTTTTTTTTTTTTTTTTTTTCCTTTCTGAACTGCTTCTCTCAGTGCACGCCTCCCCCCGCAGCGGGGTTGCGGCGGGGAGCCGAACCGCACTGACAGCCCCGCCGTGGTCGTACCATGTAAATTGGATAGCACGAGCTCTGGGCAGAGGCTCCAATGAGTGGCACACAGCCCGCGACCACGGACAGGTCAGTACCCAGGAATCTCTCCCGGTTCGGGCTTTGAAACGGGTGACAGGAAAGTGGGTTTGCAGGGATTGCTTTGGGACGTGCTTCGTGTCCTGCTGCTTCAGGCTGGAGAAGAGGAGGCTCAGGGCAGACCTTATCGCTCTCTATAACTACCTGAAGGGAGGTTGTAGTGAGCTGATGGTCGGCCTCTTGTCTCGTGTGACTGGTGATAGAAGTAGAGGGAATGGCTTCAAGGTGCGCCAGGGGAGATTTGGGCTGGACGTCAGGAAATATTACTGCTCCAAAAGAGTGGTCAGGCACTGGAATGGGCTGCCCAGGGAGTGATGGAGTCACCGACCCTGGAGGTGTTCCAAGGAACGTTTGGATTTTGTGTTGAGGGATGTGGTTTAGTATTATTGGTGATGGGTGGATGGTTGGACTGGGTGATCTTGGAGGTCTTTTCCAACCTTGTGATTCTGTGATTCCAGCTCCTTGCTCAGCATCTCATAGCATTGCAGCAACCAGCGCTGGGTGCTGCCTGTGGATGTGTAGCCATCCCTGCTGCAGCCGGGGTCAGCCCAGGTGAGGCTGCACTGCCCAGCCCTGGGTCCCATCCTGCATTCTATGGTTCTCTATGGAGCAGGTGGAAAAATGCATTTTCTGTTTTGAGGAAAGCAGCTTAAATGCAGTGGGGAACCCCTGTTGCGCTTCTGAGGCAGAATGATGGGAGTGTTTACGTCAAGGAGCTGCAACAACTTGTATTTTTCAATACTTGCAAGCAGAGTTTCCCTTTCACAGTGTTTCTTTTTGTGCTTGGTGTGAACATGTCTGGGATGAAGGCCTGAGTTCCTGAGTACCTCCTGGGCACTGCGTGGCCTCCCCAGCAATGGAGGGATGGGGCTGTGGGTGCCATGGGGAGCTGTGGTGAGCTGGGAGCCACATCCAAGCTTCACGTTTATCTCTTCTGATGGATTTTGTTCTAGGAGATCACCTGGAAAAAAAAAAACCCAAACACTTTGGAGGCTTTTATTTTTGTTGCAGCATATGTGTATGAATATTGGCAGTGTGTGTTCCTGAGCTGCAGGGTGCTATCAGGTGTGTAAGGTTGCAGGGCACCAAGGGGAGCACTGGGATTCTCACAGCCAGAACAGCTGAGCGGTGCGTGAGGATGGGGAGCTGAACTTGTTTGTTGGTAACAACAAAATACTTTCCATTATTGGATTGGAACAGACAAATTGAAAACGGAGCACAGACCAGAAAGAAAAAAAGAAAGTCTCCATTTCCTTTTGTTTTTGTGTTCAGTCATGTGCAGTGCATGTTTGTGTTTGGTGCTCTGTGGGGACTCTGGCTCAGAGGACCTTTAAGGCCAGGTGAGGAGCTGCTTCTACAGCCCCAGCATGCAGTGTTGGGCAGCTCCCAACCCCAAGAAGCCCCCAGATCTGGGGGAGCTCAGCCCTGCTGTCCATTCATTCCCTGATGCAGCTTCCAGAGCTGGATTTGGTGCCTGTGCCTCTGCTTGCCTGTTCTGTGTTCCCACAGCATTGTGCAGGGTCTGCGTGGAGGCATTTTTCAGTCGCTGTTGTGTCGGTGAAAGCTTCCTTCCTCTTATGCCCAACATCTGTATTGCCTCTTTATGTCTGGCTCTCAAGTGTGGAATGTAAAGCAGGTGCAATATAAATAAACCCGGAGCTTCTGCTGTCATTAGAGCCACACAAGTCATATGATGGCTTTAATTCTCTTTATTTATCAGTGACCTTCCTTGGTGCAGCCAGGTTGGGAACTGCCTTAAAAACACAACAACAAAACTCAGCTTGCATCTGTGCCAAAGGTGTTCTGAGCATAACGAGGCAGTGCAGGCCTGCTTTTTTCTCCACATGAGCTTTACATGCTTGGCTTTTAGATTTATACAGCTGCTTAAGACAGCAAGTGCTTCCTTGTGCACCGCTTTG